CGGCCCGACCCAGCGGGTCTGCAATGGCTGAGTGTTTGACGACCGGCTCAAAACGCCCCGGCCTGGCTCATCCAGGACCCCCCGAGAGCAGCGGTCCCCGAGCGGCAGCCACACGCGCCCCCGCGCCCGTCCCCGCGCGCCCGGGACTCACATGTACACCTTGAGGACCAGGTCGTCCTTCGTCTCCGCGGTCAGCAGGTCGGCGATGCTGAGAACCGCACAGCCGAAGGGCCGCCGGTACTGCACGCTGCAGGCGCTCTTCTTCTCCCCCGCCCCCATCCGTCCTGTGCGGGGAGGAAGCAAACGCGGCCATGAGCCGCTGGATCAGAGGACCGCGCACAGACCCACGCCCGCGACACGCAGGCCGCACGAAACGCCCCTGGGTGCCGGAAAGGACATGGGTTTGGGCAACGGAAGAGGTCGCTTCAGTTCCGAACTCCCCTCTGCGAGCACCTCGCTGCGTGACCTCCCGCCCGCAGCTCAAACTCTGGGCACCAGCTGCCATCCATGAAACACGAAGGCAGCGCTGACCCCACGTTTGGGAGGCCCCCTCCCGAAGACCCGGGCGGGCACCCCAGGAGGCTCGCGTCAGCAAAGGCAGTCACGGAGGCTCTTTCGTTCTTCCATTTTAGAAAATGTCTGTATTTTAAAAACTATTTTAACTATTTCACCTTCGAAAGGAAGCACTTTGCGATCCCCTGGAGGAACAGCATGTAAGCACAGCGTGCCCTTTCCCGAGTCAGGGCTGAGACTGTCGTCACTCAGCCGGTGGCTGAGTCTCCTGGGATGCTGCTCACCCAACAGTTCTAACTTGCTGGAATTAAGCACGTTATGGAGAGATTGTTTTCTGGTAGTGCTATATTAAATTACCAGTGGCTTATTCTTAAGACAGAAAGCAGAAAGTACACTGGAGCTGAACTATAACAAGTTAATATGGGGAAAAACAATGAAAGAAAATCTGCAGATCTGCTTCCAGACGTTTGCCAGCACTGTCGGCTGAGTCCATCTGAGTGAAATTCTCCTAAAGCCCGTCCAGATAACTTCAGCTCTTCCCAGATCCGATGTCAAACAGAAGGAAAAGGATGGCAATGTCCAATTTGGTTTGGATTTATGGGTAATAAAGGAAAACTCCCTTTTCAAAATACCATTTTCATGGAAATGCTTACAAATAGCAACCTTAAAAGCTCTCATTTTCTCAGTTAGAATCAAAACTAAAACGTGGTCAAAATAAGTCACTTGTTTTTTAGATGTACAAAATGTAGGCATGTCACATGTCATGTTTTCATGACCCGATGCTGTAACATGTGGCTAAATTTCAAACTGTTTTAATATAAATTTCGCCTGCAAATCAAATACTTTACACTGTCATATTTGAATTTATCAAGGAATTTTTACTTATGGAATTAATTTAAACAAACTTAAGACTGGTCACTCTTTAAACAGAAAAAAGGATCTAGTTTACCTCTGCTTCAATTATTATTATAGATTGTATCAGGATGAAATATACATTGCAATCTTTACCAACGTCATGATTTTAGAAAATGTATTTTTTTCTTACTTAATCATTCTGTTGTAAATGTAAGATGACAAAGTGATTACAAGATTTCTGAGTGAGGTATTCTAAGTTATTTAACATTATACAAGAAGCTTATCAGAAACAAACAAAAAAAACTTCTCAACGAGATTATTCCCGAAAGCTCGCTCCAACTTAGAAGTTTACAGACGGCATGCACATCAGTCCGATTTTTTCTAACCCCTTCAGCAAGAACTGTTGTCAAGAAAAAAGTGGGTGCTCGGGGAAAACCGCAAAGTGGGGGAGAGGCAGGAAGCGTCTGCCGGGACAACGTGGGGAGACTCTCCAGCGAGGCTCCCGCCCGCACTGACTCCCACACCTCCACGCCACCTTGTCCTCAGACACCCGATGTTAAGTCTTCCTTCCTGGCTCTGTGGATAGCAAACTCCTGGTCGCATGACTGCGCAGACAAGACAGTTTGATGCCAGCCCCAGCATTCCTGACTCCGGGATGAATAATAGTTCACAGTTCTGGTCAGATTCCTAGGGGAATTCACTAAGCGGGACTGGGGAAAGGTAAAAACAGTTGGCGACCAGCTAAAGGCCATGAGGGGAGACTTGGGGGCGGAAAGCAGGGGGGATGGACGGGGGGCTAGGAGATCATCTCTCTGTTCCCCCTCCCCTCTGTCCAGTCGAAGGCCCGGGCTTAGCTTCTGAGGTGGGGTGATACTTTGTCCCCGCTGTCCACTGCCAGTGAGGGTCAGTGTGCCCTTTCTCTACTCAGGTGGGCACTGATCTGTCGCTGATGGACGAGAATCCTCCACGCCTCCATTTCACTGCGGCAGACGAAGTCTAGATCTTTCTTAGACTTCCTTACCTTTGATCTTACTTCTCCTCAGTTTCCAGGTGTCAAACCAGGAAACCTCATCACCAGGCAAATGCCTGCGGTGACCTCAGTGAAGCGGAAACGGGACCAAAGACTGGGGGAGGGGCGGAGGGGCGGGCGGCTTCCGCGTCAGCGCTCATTCTGATGACTTAATGGTCATCAAAATCTTAGCAAAAATGCCATCACCGGTCAACCGCCACAGAGTTCAAGGCGGCCTTGCGACGGGCAATTCTATGGAAGTGGCTTCCTTGGTGATAACCCGGTGAGCGAAGGACAGAGCTGTCCGGCTGTGGGCCACCTGTCACTCTGCCACCTGTGTCTCTCCCACCACCAACCCGTAGATGCCGTTTAAAAAGCTCTGAAAGCAACAGTGATTTACTTTTCTCTCTCCATGCTGGAGAAAATTTTAGCAATGTTTACACAAAGACGTCCAAAACCACAATCTACATCAACAATTGGTATTAAAATTTTGAATTAAAAAAAAAAGCACACACAAAGAATGACATAACAAACTGAAGCCCTGTTCCTGCCATTCCAGGAACAGTCAGAGGCTTTATCTCATAAATACAGAGCAGCACGAGTTCTCACTTTTCCAATATTTTAAAAAGCTCTTTCCAATTTTTTCCCACACAGGCATTTGTAAGGAGAAAATTAAAACAAAACCAAAAACCGTTGACTTTTTAAAAACTTTGTCCCTCAAATGCAAAAAGAGTAGAAAAGGAAAACAGGTTTTTACCACAGACTTTTATGTGAAAAAAATATAGAGAGAGAAAATCTATGTTGGCATGACACCAGGTTTTATAGCCTCAATGCGCCATGCGGCTATCACGTGCACAAAATGAAAGAGTATTTAAAATAAAGACCCCTCTGCGGGACTGCACGCGGGATGTCACCCCCCACAGAAGTTTCCCAAGCTGGCAGTGCGGCCCTGCCGGCGGGGAGCCAGCTCTCAGCATCGGCTGGCGGGCTCCCACAGAAAACCCGCGTTCGCTCCACCGTTCCTCATCGTACCTACTTCCTCTGCCAGAAAACGCCTGCTTCTAGAGGCGTTTTACATGTAAAAATGAGCGAACACCTTCTGGTTCTGTTGCGCAAGGCCATCGCGGAATGCCCAAAGTGTGTTCTGCAGGATGTGGACTGTCACGTTACATAGATGCTCCCACGGTCAAATCGAACGTGGGGGAAAGTGAGGGTCAGCAGAGTTAGACCAGCGTTTTAATTTTTCCCTGCAGGACTTCTCAGACCCTTTAATAAGCTGATGCTACTGCCTAAGTGGAAATCAATATATATAGTAGTCAGTATTTCAAAACTCCTTTCTCGTAGCGTCTTCTGTAATAATACTCTGCAGCATCCTGTGCCTTGGGGAATGCCAACTGCTGTGAAGTTTTCATAAACTTGTAGGAAATCTAGCTTCTAAAAGTTTAATTTATGCTGTGAACAGAAATTAGAATTTAAAAAGACGAATACAAAATTTTTGAATTAAATATGTTTAGGGAGATCAACAAAACAAAATGAAACACAAGCAACTACCTAAGGACTGATATGACGAGAGAAAGAAATCTGTGTATGGTGGCTGAGTTGTCGTACATGAGCTCAGGGACACCAGGGAACAATTTCTGAATTCCATGTTTCTCAAATTCAAGTCTGGCTTTGACATCTTTGTAATCCACACAGCGACACAAAGAGCAACTACCACGCTGACAAGTGTCGCACCTACCGATTCGGATGATGTGCACGGTGATATAGATGTCCCTCCGCAGCTCGCTGCTACCCAAATCCTGCCAAAAAATTAAGTATGGTTATTCTACAACTCATAATTTCTGTGGAAGCATTTAAAGAGCCCAGCACATTATTTTCACAAGTCATAGAGTTAACAGAACTTCTATAGCAGAAGCATGTGGTTCAAAGCCTGTTCTAAATATACCATGACGATCGACTCTATTGGACAAGTCCTGATGTCAGATGATGTTTTAAGGGAAAGCCCATTTTTATTCCGATGCTCAATCACTCATTCTTCAACCATGAATTAAGTACATACCACATATCGAAGGCCACACTGGGCCCATCGCCACTGTGCTTTGACAGCAGAGTGACAGGCTCTAAGACACAGCGAAGGAACAAAAGTGTGACCATGACTGGTGGCAGTCAGAAGTCTGGACTCAATGGTGATCTGTGTGTTATTTACAAAGTTTAAGCAAATCCGCTATGTTCTCCCACAATAATTTATTTCTCCTAAACAATATGAAGTCCAATTGGAAGACTCTGCCTCTTGGATGGATCAAGACCCACTTACCACAAAGAGAGAGCAGTGCCTTTCTGGTTTATCTGGGGCTTTGGGAAGCCCGTTTCTATTCAGCCTCAAGAAAAATCTCTCACTGCAAGAGGGGAAAAAAAAAAAAAATGTTTAATCCACTGAAAATTATTTAATATTTCAGGACTTATCGCTTTTCTAGTTGCTCTTCACCCTGAGTTAAGCTCAAAACTTGTTAGGTGATTCATCTGACATCAAAAGTGCTTAAATAACATGGAAGCGCACCCAACACAATCGCCATTTGCTTCACTTCCGATAAAACCGGCAAAGCAGCAACTGCAAAAGCAGAAAATATAAAGATATATGCAAACAAAAAAAAACTTTTCAAAGGATAGAGTAGGTTTCCGTATCAGTAATATCACCGTTGTTATTTTAAAAATAGAAACAAATGAACTAAAAGAGAAAACATGACCCGTGTTTCATGTGTTTGTATCCTAAAAAGTTTTTTTTATGTCTGTCATATTATTTAACATCACACAAAGACGCCACTCTGAGTGTTAACCATCCATTAGAAGGCTTAATAATTCATGCACTCATAAGTCTGTCATTCAAAACACAGAGAGAGGACCTAAGAAATAAAACTTGAGTTTTCTTGTTCCACAACAAAACAGAAAACCTCCAACTCCCCACAGAACCTGTACTGGAAAACACAGCGTCACCTAGACTTAAGGCAAACATAAAATGAGCAGTCAATAAATACTCGTGGACACCATTTCAATCCAAGGCAATGTGTTACGCCATTTACTACGTTCAAAAAAATAATAAATATCAACCCAAGAAAAATTAACCTACCAGTTCCCACAAGCTTCTGAATTTCGGTATCCTCAGACCTGTGACAATATCCAATGGCTGGCTCTCTCAGGCCGAAAACACAAAGCCATCAGCCACAGGACGTGGAGCGAGCACGTGGGGTGGCCTCGGCCAGCGTGGGCATCGCCCAGCAGACGAGCAAGGAAAGGGAGTGCAGGGCACCAGGAAAGGGTCCAGGCCCCACCAAGTCGCCGGGTCCTCACCTTAAATAACAGCTCTGTCAATCAAACCCATGCAGGAGGAGAAATGAGGGCCGTGGTTAGATCTCTAAGGAAGCAGAGCGATTTGAATTTATGGCTGTTTCGGAACATTTTCACGCTCGTTTGCGATCTGAGTCTAGATGGATATATTTAAGAGATTCAACTGCTCGGCTTACTGCATCCTTGTCTTATATTTACCTATTCCCGACCTCCCCTTGAGAAAGGGCGACCGATCCCCATTTCCACGGGGCCACTTCCACACCTGTTACCTAGGTTTCCCTCCACACAGCACTGGCCGGTGAGGTATAAACGATGAGACTGTACATTGCTGCAAGAATTCTCACATGAAGCCAACATCCCCATACGATATCCCGAAGCAGAGGCTGGAAATGACAGGCACAAGTGAGGATGCAACTGCCACTCACCACAGCTCAAGGAAAAGGGCTGTGTGAACGCGCCTCACGGCGGACGGAAATGCGCTGTTATTCCAAATTCAAGCTACGCTAGGAGGAAATGTGCAAAAACTCATCTCGGGATAAGTGAATTATACTTTAAATAATCACGTTATTCTGTAATACTACTTTAGGGGGAATTCACCATTCGATGGTCACTCTGCTAGGGACTTTACATGAATTAATTATTTTATCTTCACTATGCCCATCTTATAGATGAGAAAACTGAGAAATAATGAATAGTCTTGCCCAAGATCACGGAGCAGGTGAGTGGCTGAGTAGGGGCTCTATCCTACAAATTAACTCAAAACTCTCACGCTTCATTTGAATGCTACAAGGTAAATTCTTGCTCCGCTCTATAGAAATATTGAGCGAGTATTTCCAGAATATTTAGATAGGGAAGAAGTCATCTATCTGCCTGGGACACACACTGATCCCATCAAACCTGGCAAAGGACAGCTTGAAACGGGACTGCTCAAGCAGCCCCTGATCGGCTACAGCAACGCCCCCAGGGGCTGGAGCCACTGCAGCCTGCGCGGAGGGTCCAGGGTCCTGGGCGGCCGCTGGCCCGAGGGCTCTGTGCTCACTGTGGCACAGACGGCTGAAAGGATCACCCACTGTGAAGGGAAGAGACCCCCTGGCCCTCTCGTCCAGGGGCTCCCAGCCCGGGTGTGCCCAGCATCCCCCCGGGCAGGCGTAAGAAGCCTCGGCCCTCCCCTGGGAGCCCCGATTCATGAGGCAGGACGGGCCGAAAGCCCCCACAGGTTCAAAGCCCAGTGGTGCTTCTGGACTGCGGCTCTGACCCAAACGCCCAGGCTCTAACAAGTTAGACTTGCTGACAGCCACATACACCGGAGAACAGGCGACAGACACCTGCATCTTCAGTCAAAGATTTTCTCCCTTTCCTCTGCCAACCATGTCACTGACACAAATGACCGAGTTTTTCTTGGCAATAAATGAAAGCAACCCCTCAAGCTTGCGTTCCTAGATGCGGCTGCTAATGCGCTTTATAATTTTAAAACTAAAGCGACATTGGGGTCATGAGCTCTTCTGATTAAAGAGAAATGGAAAGAGGACAAGCCTTGATGTCAGGTTTCTACAGCGGTTTACCTAGAGGACAGATTGATTCTGAGCTGCCTTTCTTCCTTACGAAAGTCCGAGCCCAGATCCACCTCACAAATATTTGAGTGTTGCGGGACTAAGTAACCAACTCATGTGATGGCTCTGTTAGGACAGCAAAGAATTTGGTTCCAGTTAAATGATACGGGGGAGATAATTTTTTAAGCCATAATCAACTCTATTGTCATCCTGAACATCGAGCTGGTTCTCTCTTACTACGTAGCGCGATTTAAAACTACGTCGTTTTATTTTTCTTCTCGGAAAATAAAAAGACCTGAATCAGAACTCTTTTTAGGCAGGTAAAACGCAATGGGAAAAAAAAAATGCAATGCTTTTAATGTAAAGTTATAAATAAGCAACGAGCAGATCGCCTGGGGTTTCACGGCGCCTGTGTCACCACCGGACCCAGCAACTGGCTCGTGACGGAAGAAGTGACTGGCACCGACGCTGATTTGACAAAAACTATGACGACTGTAGGTTCAGAAGACCTGAGACCTTGCAAGTACCAACGCTGAATTCAAGGAAAACCCTTAGAAACGGCGATAATGTCTGACCGAACAACTCAAAAATATTCATTCGCATCTGTCTCTACAGAACTGATCTAAAAATTTCAGTGGAAAACAAGTTCCTCAGAGAAGTAACAAAAAGGCGATGCCAGTATGTGGCCAACATGAAATCAGAAGGTCTGCATAGCTGTGGCATGTCTTAGGACCAGGTATTCTCATTCCTCTGGGAATTTACATAATTCGATCATTACAAACACTATATCTTTGACATGTCGAGAGGCAGCAATCACTGTGATATATATGTAATTATTCTGAACTTCTAACAATGACTCTCTGTTGGAGAAAGTATCTATAATAAGTAAAGCAAAGTACTCTCCAATGTAAAGCAAACCTGAGCTCTTTCTAAGCGCCCTGGGTCAAAGCAGGCAGCTCCTTGCAAAAGCAAAGAAACCTTAAGTGAAAACAGACTAAATAATAAAAATGTAAGTAATTCAAGTCTTGCAAAAACAGTAAGTGTAACAAATAAGTGATGTATTTGTTATCTCACGAAGATGTTCTATTTTAAAAAGAAGCCAAAATCAAATTCTTTTCCAACAGCTCACAACCGAGAACAGCTTACTGATGGATTCTTTATATTTATCACAACTTTAAAAAATGAAATCATTAAATACTTTTTATTAACTAGATGACACATGCATTTGGACTTCTACACTCAAATCCTCTTTGAAAACCAGGGAGCTACAGAGCCTCTAAGTTGATATGCAAACGTCAATGAGTATGAGAATAGGTACATATTTTTTTGTACGGGGCTTCAGTTTTCACAAGTTTGAAAGGCTCTTTAGGCACTGAAAAGGCTAGAAAGCATTGCTTTAGAAGCCGCAAATATGTTTGTGAAATGAAAATCGCATATCGGTTACCATACAAAGAGATGGTATAGAAATCTGGCCTTTAAAAACATCTTTTGACTAAAAGCCTCATATTATTTTAACCATGAATCAAATGTAAGTTCTGGGAGGGCAGAAATTTTTCTCTTCCTGTTCTATTCATTGATTTGTCCCCAGTGCCCAGGTCAGTGGCCGGCCCTGAGAGCAATAATTAATTTTTTGCTGAATGAATGAACATCAATGATTCAACAGCAATAATGTGAAGTCTACGACATTCAATGGAAATAAAAAGAAGACACAGGCTATTCGACTTGTAGGAAAAATCTCTAAATGGAAAATACTTAGGAGAAGATGCTTTATGTCTGCCAATTTTTATTTACTTTTCGTTTAGCATGTTTTTACAAAAATGCTCCCCTAGAGACAGGTCTGAAAATGCAGCTCTGAGCCACACAGGGAGACGCGGAAGAACCCCTTGAGCATTCCTGATGCACCTGACCCTCGGCTTCGCTCTTATTGATAAGCACGTCCCCCCTGGAACGGGAGGGCACGAGAAAAGATCAAGACAATGACGGCAACGTCTTTCACGAAAGACTGGCTTCCTTGAGCCGCGTCGACGCCTCCCTGCGTCGAGCACTCGGAAAGGTGCGGGGCACACGAGGATGATGAGCGGGCCGGGCCTCATCTTCAGAAAAGGGTCTAACAAGGGCCGTTTCGGCGCCAATCCCCTCGTCACTGTCGCGTCACCCTACTGCATGAATGGCACCGGACACCAAAGACGTCCTTGCCGGGTGGGTCGCTATAGGTGTGACAGTAACTTGTGCTGTAGGAGACTCAGGACAAGTAAATTAACCTGAATTCCCTACAGGCAGCAGACACAGCAGAGAAGGAAAGACAGAGATGACCGGAACCCTTTTTGAAAAGAATAACGACCTGGTCGTCTTTTCAGACACAGGAACAGGGGTGAGAATTCCTCTGGTCACGTTAAAACACTGAAGTTTTTAAGTAAAAAGAGACAAGTGGCCTGAGTGAGTGCTTGGAGCTAAAGGGAATCCATTTCCCTTTACTGAATCCTTCTACGCCACGACTTTTTGGT